ACTAGGGACAAGATTAGTGCGAGCTGTCTGCACAGCACAGCCAATAACTCCATTGTCTTGGGAATAAATGATACTGTCAGATACAAGTGTGAAAGGCTATGAGGAAAATTGAAAACATATGCTGAAGCAGTAAAAGAAATGGTTTTCATTGGTGGGGTGAGAGAGGAGAAGAGCTGTTCACAGGGACACCAATAGGCCTTGAAATATGACCCCCCTTCCCTCATACCCACCCCTCAGATCTACCCCTGTTTTTGGAGTAGTAGAATTCTCAACATCTGCCATGCCATGAGAATCTTGGACTACGTTCCGCTTAGTGAATTAGGGCAGGCTTAGGGAATGCATTTGGGTTCATGTGCAGGTCTCTCTTGGTGCGTTTAGCAGGTGGATATAGCTGACTCGACACGGAGATTAAGCAGCTTCCTGAGGAGTCTTGCAGACCGGCTGGAAAACACCAAAGAATTGAGATCATCTGACATGAAGAAGGACTTTGTTCTGAACCGGTTACCACCTTTCTTGGGGAGCAGCACTGGTCCCCTGACTCCAGGTGAAATTGAAGCTTCCCACTGATTCTCTTGGCTGGGGATGGTGAGGCCGTTGCAATCTTGTGCTGCTTGTTGTGGTTTGTATGGTGAACCATTTGTAGGCTCCAGCCCAGGGTCATTTTTTCACTGTGCTAGGCTCGGGGTGTGAGCTAACAACCCAATCAATCCTGTGTGCAAAAAAGAGGGGCAGCAGGTGGAGTCAGCAAGTTGACCATGTTCTTTTAAGATTTGGTTTTGAGATTACTTTGGCCTCCCACAGCCTTTTCAATCTTTTGGCCTGCTAGGGAGTCCTGGTAGGCCATTTGTCAGTTCTGTGCTACAGTTTCTGTTTAGCCATCTGTAAAATATGTCTTGTACCCAGTCTTCCCAAAGAAAGGTATGTTGTGAGGCTTAACTAACCTGTTGGTGGATTGCTTTGAGATCCTGGGATTAAAAATGCTTAATTGGTATCAAATAATTTCATGACATGTCTGCATTAAAGTTTGGATTTTGCTCATTTTAGGTAGATAGCAAATGTTTGTCATACAGAACCCTTGAAAGACTAGCATGCCTTACTGAGTATATGTATTGGTTTAACTGGTGGAGGTTGCTGCCAATATCCTGCTTGCTATTATCGTTACTGTTAAATCTGAGTAAGTGTTACAGATTTTAGTTAATGAAATCAATATGTTTTTCATGATATAAGAATGAGCAAATATCAGAAGTACAGACATTCACATCTATATATTTAAGTTACACTTGTGGGGGAGATAGGGAGGAAAACTGAAAAAAGCTGGATGCAAAAGGTGGCTGATTTCCT